GAGAGGGCTTACAATGGAGCCAGTCTCAGCAAGCCCCCCTCCTCCCCAATCAGTACCTGTAACACTCTAGTCTTTCCCTTCTGGATTTCTCTTGGGATAGAAACTCCTGCCTAGAGGAAAGAGTAGGGAAAGGAGGAGAGAAAAGACAAGAAAGGAGAGAAACCTTCCCATTTCTTTGTAAAAGGAAGGTAGCTGGATCACTGATGCTCAAGGAAAGGGATAGAGGAAAGGGAAAATTGCTTTCTTTCCTCTCTTCACTCCCTGCCCCTTCCAGCATCGGAATCCCTCCCTCTGAGAGGACAGGTTAGTCATTCCCAGGCCTCATTTGGAAATTGGGCTTTCAAGAAAAAGAGGGCATCAGAGTGTCATTTGCTCTTCTCCCTTCTTTTTATCCTCACCTAAAATGTTTATCATCCCTCTGTAACAGAAACGTTTTGCTGCCTTCCCCAACTCTTTGGGGGACATGCTCTGTGAAGGACGGAAAGTCAACGATTCAAGAAATGTACCTTTATTCCTGAGCACAGTCTAATCCTAATCTGGTGGTTTTTGAAAGGGGCAGGGAGCATTTAGGAGAAATAGCCCCCTGCCCCCACACACCCCAGGTCCTAATCTTTAGAAGCTTCCCTTCCAAGAAAGGAGCGCCCTGAACGAAAACTAAAAACGAAACAATCCGGGCAGCAGGCGCGCCGCGGTTCTGGAAATAGCAGGAGCGAAAAGGGCGAGGGGAACAGAGGTCAAAATCAAGTTGGAATCACTGAATCAAAAGAGAAAAGTTGCACTAGCCCTCAGAGTGCTTCTAGGAAACTTGCTTCTGCAGAGGAGTCGCACTCTGTCCTGAAGGGGCTGAGAGGATTGCTTACTGAATAGACTAAACCAGCCCCGGGAGTAACCCAAGGCATAGAAATGTTTCTTTGCTATCTCAAGCTCGTAGTTAAAGATGGGATCTGTGCCGAAGACGAGGAGGTCATCGTTGGTTATGTGAAAAAGCGACCTGCAAATCAGGGAACTCACCTTTCATCTTGTATTCACGCTCTCCCTTCCTATCTCACCCTTTCCTTTCCTTCTGAAAACAGCTATCCTCGGTACTACTCTTTAAGTTCCCCTTTCAGAAGATTGAGACAGAGAAAAGCATCCTGGCAGTGTATCCTAAGTGCACACTCGACCTGATCACCTTATCCTCTCTGGCACTGGAGATGAAAGTAGACCCCCAGCTCTCCCACTACCATCCCCCAGACATTTAGATACTAACAGTTTACTCCCCTTTCTCTCAATCCTCTTCTCCCAATCCGCTTCTCCCTCCCCCCTATTAGCCCAGGAGCTAACTAGATTCAGCTTTCCTTGGCGATTTTATTCTTCCCTAATGACTTGTCCCCTCAACTTGCTGGCTAGGAGGCTTGGAAAGAGGACCAAGAAGGATAATGGGGAAAAAGTCTGGAGAGACAAGGGTGAAGGGACTCTTCCCTCCCTTCCTCCAACCTCTAAAGTAAAACAAACAACTCCTGTGAATTGCAATAAAATCAAATTCCGCCCCTCCACACACACTTTTAATCCTCACCCACCCCTAACTTTCACTCTAGCAGCTGCATGACGGGGAGTCTGGTCTTCCCCGAGAAAGAGGGGCTCCTGCGCAAAATTACGCCTTCTCCTCTCATTTGTTAGCTGATTCCATCAAAAAGTTCTCTATTTATAGGCTACAGACACCAGGCGAGAGTAATCTCGGCGCTCTGGCTTGTCGGTTTTCCAGCGAGAAGTGAAAGTGTTCCCCGTAACGCCTGTGTGTGTGTATGTGTGTGTGATTCTGTTTTGTTTGGTGAGTTGTTTTGTTTTGTTTCTGCCCTAGCTGCTACTATTTACAGGGGGGAACCGAAAGCGGCGAGATCCCGAAGCCAGACATACGTTCGCTAGTTGTTGAGGGAGCGGATCCTGCAGGCAGGCCAACCATGTGAGTCCGCGCCGCAGACACACTCCGCACCGGCAGGCTGCGAGCAGCCGCAAGTGAATGCGCACTCGTCCTTGTCCCTGTCTGTGTCCTGACTCACTTCCCTGCCTCTCCATCTCCTCCTCTGCCCTTTTCACCTTGCTTCACTCTTCTTTTTTTCATTCTCTCTGTATTCACTTCTTATTGCTGCCGGTTCTCATCCTCTGATCTTTCTCTCCCCCTCCCCCTCCGATCCCAACTCTCTTGGATTTGCGTCTAAAGGGACAGAAAGCAAGCCTCACTTTCTTTTAAAGGGGGAGGAAAAGCATGAATTAATGTAATAGAGAAAAAAGAAACTAGGCAAGGGAGGACTAGGAGTGGAGGCCAGTTAGATGGTAGGAAGGGTTGGTGGTTGTTGCTTTTTTTTTTTCTCCCAAATACACCGGAATAGACATAAGAGGTGGGTTCCGTGAGGGTTACGTGTGCCTTGCCTCAAAGTCTCGGAGGTGACTTGGACTTGGAGGTAGCAAAGAGGAAGTGGCGTTGTAGCACTGACATGAGGGTCAATCCCTCAGCAATGCGAGTATTGATCTTCCCAAATCACAATAGAGCGTGGGACAATCAGTCAGGGAAATGGGGGGAGGGAGGGAGGAGGTGGAGAGAGAACAGACGGTGACTTATATATTGCTATTCCCAGACAGAGAAGTAGATAGTTTAAGGTATCTTTCTCCTCACTACATATAGGACTAAACAAACCGAGTCCCTGCATTTAGGGTGAGGGAGGATTGAGGGAAAGATTTCGGGGACTTTCTTGTGACGCGTGCCTTCCTTACACCAGTCACACCAGAGATAAAGATAATGTGTGTTTAGGAAACCAGGAGTCAAAACAGAAGCCTTTGCACTTGTGTAGTGATGATTTGCCTGTAGTCTGTCCCAGCTTTTGACATAGGAGGGGGCGGGACGGGGTGGGGCAAGATAAGGTATTGCAGATACCTGTGTTTCTGGCGCTTGGAAAGGACAGTGGGGAAGATGGAGCAAGTGGAGGCCCTTGGGTGTATAGTCCTTTCTTTGCACAAAAGCGCGGGGAGCAGGGGAGGATGTGTGACCTGTGTTGGAACAAACTGAAATTTCCCACATGAGAAAAGGTTTTGAGGGTAAAGCGGCCAAGGGACCGTGTGTGTGTGTGTTGTGTGTGTGTGAGAGAGAGAGGGGGGGGAGGGAGACAGAGAGAGAGAGAGAGAGAGAGAGAGAGAGAGAGAGAGAGAGAGAGAGAGAGAGAGAGAGAGAGAGAGAGAGAGAGAGAGATTTGTGGATCTGTTCACGCCGGTACCAGGCGGAAAGCGCTATAGTATTGCTGGGGGGTACAAATGGGGGCAGGTGGTCTTGGTGCTCCTCCAAGACTACCCTTGCTTCTTTCCCATTTATGACTTTCTCTCAAAGGTACTCTTCTCGTAGGATCCGCTTCCCCATTCCCCGGGCGGGAAATTCGGGTTTTTAGCCTTTTCCCACCGCCCACCACCAAGTTCTCAAGGGGAACAGAAACTTACAGTAAATGTCCTCTCTAGCCTTTGGAGGGGAAAGGCCATCATCATTCCTAGCCTGTTCCTCCGCACTGAGCTGGCCCCCTTATCGCCCCAAGAGCGTGATGAATTAAGACCCAGAAAAACTCGGATGACTGTGCCTGAGGCAGTTATAAAAGCGACTGAGGGCGTTGCCGCCACAAATGACTGGCTCAATTAATCCGCCATCACTGGTAGAAGGTAGAGTATAACCTTGCTTCCCCTTCCTAAGCACATATGTCGATGCCTTTCGATGAACTTACGCTCAATATTAGATTTACGCTCCTTGAGGGCGAGGGCTGTCTTTGCCTTTCCTTTATGCCCAGTGTTCAGCACAGTGGTTGACCCTAATAAGAGCTACATTGATTGACTGACTGGACCCTTACAGTACAAGGTCTTGCCTGGCTAGGACTGGTACAAGGATATAGGGTCCTTCACTGTCAGCAGGCCATGAAACACAACTTTCAGAAATCGGACTTCATTCTAAACCGAAGAGCTGAGTAAACTGCTTCATTTTCCGCAGCTATCAGGGCTTCTCCCCTAATGTGGGGAATGTGGCCTAGAGAAAAAGTCACTCAGCTTTCCAGAGGTGTGAGAGGTCTGGAGAAGGGCAGAGTATGTCTCTCACAGATTCCCTCTTGCAGTTCCCACTGTATCACCCACTCCCTAGATTTCTGAGAGAGGAGGAAGCTAGAGAGAAACTCGTTTGCCCAGACACTGAAGCACAACTTTGAGATTTTTCTTGCTGTTGCTGCCCCTTGTTTCTTTTCCAGTGAACTTTTTTTCTTTGAAAATTAGAAGAGGGAGGAAAAGGAGAGAAAAAGGAAAACCAAAAAGGATAACAATAACACATGAAAACTGTCTTCCTAACTTGAAATACAGGTTTCTCTTTTTATAATATCAAAGCTATAGGCTCTACACTCCTCCTGTACTCTCCTCTTTCTTTCTCTTTCTGTGTCTCTGTGTGTGTGTCTTTCTGTCTCTCTGTCTTTCTCTTTCCTCCTCTTGTTTTTTATGCCACACATAGCACATAGGAAATAATCCCAGGTTGCTGGGATATCACATTGTTTAAAAGGGGGGGAGGGGTGTAAAAGCTCACAGACACACTTTCTATCCAGGGTACTCAATACTTTACTGTTTTTTCTAAAAGGTTCAACTTTTAGTGATCGCAGCAAAGGGTCAAGTAAAAGGAGAGGGCAAGAAATATTAGTGCTCTTCTGATACATTTTTAAAATTTTCTTAGCTTTTGAATAAGAAGGGCTTATTTCTAACTCTTTCTAGGAAAAGAGATCTCAGGAGTGGGAAAGTTCCTTTCAGCCAAGAGAGACTATGAACTCTCCCTATTGGTTTTAATGCAGTCTTAAGAGAGAGATTGTTACAAGCCAAGTAAAGATTCAGCCTCCCCTGGGTGCCTGGCACTGAAGGAAGGCAAAAAAGAGAGGAAGGAGAAAAGGAGAACACAAAAAATATATAGAAAGGGAATTGAAAGAAAAAAAGTACAGACATTTGGAGTGGTTTCCAACCTGTTGGAGGCTCTTCTCTGTCCTTCAGTTATCTTCCCATCACTTTTCTCTAATGTTGTCACAATTTTTCTCTTGCTTTATGTCTAGGAAAGTAGCTGAGCAATGGTACCCATCTTAGACAGCAGATAGAAATGCCTAGTGCTTTTGACCAGATTTATTTGTGATGAGATTTTCCATAGTCAAAATTTGCAAATGGCATGAAGGGGAAGGGGAGGAGAGAAAGGAACAACAAAGACAGAAGAGACAGGAGGAAATGATAGCTATAAAAAGAATGGTTCTTTTAGTGTTGTAGAAATCCTTGTTTCCCAATTTTAAATTCAAGAAAGTAGAAGCAAGAGGGAGAAATATCATGGTCCCAGAAATAGAAAGGGCTGAAAAGCAGCATCTGTCAATGGAGCAAAAAAATGTCAGGGTTGAGATTTTCAAAAGCAGATCTGAAGATGAATAAACCAGGCAAAGGAAAGAAATTATCCGAGGCTCACTGGATAGACAGCTGCCCTATCTTACTTGTACTTCTCAGCACTTCTTAAAAAAATTTTTTTTTAAGTAATTGGTAGTAGAAATTGTTCCTATATTAAAACATTCAGTCGTAAAATCTGAGTGACTTTTCTAACTGCTTGGCAAACTAGTTAGGAGTACTGAATTTAGGGTAATTCATTGCTAAAATGCAGAAACTAGAATATAGAATGAACACAAGAATGGCCAAGATTAAGGAATAGTATGTCCCAAACTTCTCCGGCTACTGCTACTTTTCTAATCCTGATAATCACCTGCCAGAGTAAACATCAACTAGGCAACTCTTTGGTGTTTATCAGCAGAAAAAGGATCCTTTCTTCCCATTAGTTATTTATTTTCCTGTAATGATGAAATCTTTTGGTGTTTTCTTCTTCTCTAGGAAGGAATCAAGAGCATGTACAGTACAAGATCATCTAAACCTTTAGTAATTCCTCTGAAATCCAATTTGGGCCACAGTCTTACTCTCTAAAGCACAGGTTTTTAAGATGTTTTGGGTCATTGATCCCTTGGCCATCCAGTGGAACCTATGGATTCCCTGTTCAGAATGATGTTTTTAAATGTATTAAATGAGATATATTGAATTACAAAGGAATACAATTCTATTGAAAAACAATTATCAAAATATTTGGAAAAATCAAGTTCACAGATCAAAGATCAAGAACTCTTGCTCTATAGGAATAAAATACAAAACTTCTCTGCCTACTTTTAAAATGATTAATTTTTGTCTTTCATCAATCCCCAAATCTCCAGGTAGCATTTGAGGACCCATGTTTTCAAACTACATGAATACAAGTCTTGCTATAATCCTCAGCAGTAAGTAGACAAGAAATAATTCATACCAACAAATGCAGGTTCATAGCATCCAAGTAGGGATTAGTTCTTAGAGTTCTGGAAAGAACATGAAAGATCTCCCTGAGCAAAACATGAGCACTGAGAAACTGAGGAAATTCTCCTTCTAGGATTTTACTTGGCCACTAAGTATTTAGAGCAGAACATTAAAAATGAGAGGAGAGAAAGAAAGTTGAAAATAACAAGACTTTCTGGAATAAAAATGATTTCTTCTTCCTCTGGTCGACCTGTATATATCTGCCCTTTAACTTCATTTTCTTCTTTAACTAAAAAAGATGACATCCTCAGACAATTTTAACTTTAATATGTTTATTTCTCATCAGAGCTCAGTTTTTCAGATTGTTCATTTTAGAATGTGGCCACGTGTACTTAGATGTCTTGAGTAGCCTCGTTAGTGTCTCTTATTCTGAATTACGTTGTTTGTTGTTTATCTACAACAGATTGTCTTTAGTTTGTGTTTTTCTCCAAAAGATTCATCAAGTAGCTAGGTGTGCAGGGGATAGAGCTTGGACCTAGAGTCTGGAAGACCTGAGTTCAAATCTAGTCTCAGACAGTTACTAATTGTGTGTGCTTGGCCAAGTCATTAAACTCTGTCTGCCTCAGTTTCCTCATCTGTAAAATGGGGATAATAGTAGCACCTACCTCCCAGGATTGTTGTGAGGATGAAAAGTACTACATAAGTGGTAGTTATTATTACTAAAAAAAAACCAAATATGCTAACATTGAAGCTTACAATTGAGCCACTATAATTCTTCTGAGAATTCAGGATAATCCTACCTACGTTTTGATCGAAAGTAGACAGATATTGAGAGGAGTGTAAGATTTTTAACCTATGTTATCCAAATATTTATATAATCCTTTCCTTCCCCTTAATCTGTGTAAATGGGTCAGACTGACATTTAAGTAGATTTATTCCCTCCATGGTAGCTTTCACTTTGATGAGACGTCATGAAAAGGAAACAGAAAACTTTTCAAGCAGAATTTTTACATGGGCGATTTTAAAGTCATAGCAAAGGCAATGAGCATAGCACCATGGAAATGGAATATTCATTATTCAAACTTTCCTAACAACTTTCAATAGGATTGTGTCATACTTACTTAAATAATTATGTTTGCTGAAGTATGTGAATATATCTATCCATTCACCAGACAAAGGGTAGATATTTTGATTTGATTTCCCCACAGGTTTTTGTTGGGTGTTTGGTGGTCTCTTCCCTCCCCTTCCTCCCTCCCCCAATGACTACTTAAAACAGAGATAGATTAGCTTCAGATTTCACTTGTTAGGCTCAGAGATATTAAGAAAATGCTTACTGTTTTCTTATGCAAGGAAAATACTTCTCTGACTTAAAATATTTATCGTATTACCCTTCTCCATTTTTGGAATCAATATTGCATTTATATCATACTAATATACACCTCCAGGGAAAAGTGTTTCATTGCTTACAGGTGAGGTCTCCAAACTTTTTTGATTGTTCATCCCTTGAATAAAAATTTTTTAAGCTTTTTTTTTTTAATTTTTAGGCAATTGGGATTAAGTGACTTGCTCACAGTCACACAGCTAGTAAGTGTCAAGTGTTTGGTCTTAGGCCAGATTTGAACTCAGGTCCTCCTGACTTCGGGGCTGGTGCTCTATCCACTTCACCACCTAGCTGCCCCCAGTAAAAGAATTTTAAGCTGTACCATATGCCACCCAAAATGTAAAGGGAGGTGGTATGGGCTTTTACTAACCCAGTCATTGCCCCAAAGCACAGAACTTGGCCTCTAATGGAGCATTGCTCCAGTTACCAAGTGATCTGGGGATCATTTGAATCTGTTGGATCCAAATCTGTTGGATATTTGGAAGGACAATTTTCTCAGTGGCACCTGCACAGCTACTGCTATAATACCAAAAAAAAAAATATATATATATATATATATATATATATATATATATATATATATATACACACACACACATGCACACACACACATACCCTAAAATGTTTATACAGAATTTACTTTTTATATTTTATGTTAAGCATCAAAACATAGTGGAAAGAGAGCTGGCCTTGAACCCAGGAAGACCCGCCTCTAATACCTAATGGCTGTGTGGCTCTGGGTAAGTCTATTAATCTCTCTGTGACCATGGCAATTCTCCAAGTCTCTAATTTGCAGAGAAGGTGCTGACCTGCATTGGTAGCAGGAGTTTCCTGCCATGGGAGTTCCCTGCCATGGGAGTTCCCTATAAGCTTCTCAATGAAATCACAGGCCCAGTCCTTATCCCTAAATATGTACATGCTCTACTGTATTATAATTATGTATATTACAAACTTTCATAAAAACAGAAATTAAAAAAGGATGAAATAGATGAAATAATATTGGACCCTAGTAGAGTCACTAGGGAGCTGCTGGAGTATATTAGTTGAGGAGTGACCTAGTCAGATCTACAATTTCAGGAAATTACTTTGGCAGCTATATGGGTGATGAATTGGAAAAGGGGAAGAGAGCCCCTTTTGGTAGGGAGCCCAATTAGGTGGTTATTGCAATAGTCCCCAGGGGTGGGGAATCTTCGGGCTTAAGGCCATATGTGGCCTTTTAGTTCTTAGGTGCAACCTTTTGACTGAGTCCAAGTTTTACAAAACAAATCCTTTTATGAAAGGATTTCCCCACCTGTGGTCAGGCTAAAAGTTTTGAAAGTTTACACACCCTAGGCTGTATAAATTAAAAAAAAAAAGCAAGGGGATAGATGGGAGAAAAATTGTGGTTACAGAAATTACGAGATTTGATTTATTGAATAAAGGAAGTGAGTGAGAGTGAGGAGTCACTGACATTGAGGCTGAAAATAAATGATGGTGCCCCCTCATAGGAGAGAAGTTTATCACGAGATATGAGATGCAATCATAAGCTATCTATGCCTGCTCATCCTATAAGATGTACTATATGCCACCCAAAATGTAAAGAGAGGTGGTATGGACTCTTATTAACACAGTCATTGCCCCAAAGCACAGAACTTGATCTCTAAAAAAAGCATTGCTCCAGTTACTATGGGATCTGGGGATCACTGTTGGATATTTGGAGGGACAATTTTCTCAGTGGCACCTCACAGCTGCTGCTTGCTACAAGTGCAAAGGTATCGGTTAGGTTGTCATTGTCCTAAGAGGCCTATGCCTGGCTCAAAAAAGGAAGATGTGAGTTAGGAGTGGAGCATATGAATATGTGTAGTTGTGTTCAAGTTGAGTCCCACTACTGGCTATTCCTGAGAGATACCCTCTGATTGGCCAATTCCACAATAGTTGGGGTCATGTTGGCTCCCCAGAATACCCTTCCCCAGGACTTTGGAGCCCACTAGTTAAAAGAAAGTAACTGAAAGAATTAGACAACAAATAAGGGGTCTATGCCTTCTCTTAAATATTCTTGTATCTGAAACAGTTGTGGTTAGTATTTCCAGTTTATATTCAAGCAAGTATATTGACATGTGATAAATGATATTACTATTCTCACCAAAGCTATTAATGTGCTGTGATATTTGAGTAAAACTTATTCAATGCAATTCACAAGGGGAAACTCTTCCTTACACAAATACAGTAATCAATAATGGCTAGATCAGTTGAAATGCTGACAGTGCAAATTTGGAATAGAGAAAGAACATTAGAGAAGTTGGCATTTTTTCTGGCAAAGCGAATTAGACAATGACAAACCAAAAGTGCCATTCAAGAACAAAGGGTTAACAAGAACCGGGCAAAATTAAATTAAGGGACTGATGGAGGAAAAGTTGTCTGTCACTGATCTTCTGGGAGGCTCCACTGAAGAGTCTTCTGAGTTCTGT